CTGGTTGCATTGCAATGTACAATAAAACTTACACCAATGCGTACAAGACGATACGTTGATTATCCTACAGCCAAAACCAGATAATTGCAATCTCGGTAATAGTAACAGCGTTAAAAGAAAGTGTCCGAGATGATTCGTCTGCAGGTGCATCTCGTTTCCGTTCACGGTTTTCTCGAATGGAAACATTGCAATGCCGGCATTATTTATAAGAATATGTATCACTGGTTCCTTTGCTAGTAAATTTTTAGCACATTCTTTTACACTTGCGAAACTGGTGAGATCCAGTTGGTAAATCGCGAGATCACCTGTATTGTCCTCTTGCTTATCCGCTCTTGAAGGTAACATAAAATTAGTATTATTTTATGAAACAAATAAAATGCGCAAAATCAACATTTTTTTATATTTCTGTAAAATAATTAATAAATCACAAATATTTTAATATTGTTTCTTACTAATAATATTTTAATTACAATTTCTGATTATATTACGGCTTATTATAGTTATAAATGTAATTTTGCTCAATATTTCTAAATATACATTGATGTAATTCTGTTATAAAAATACAACATAATGCTTTATTTAGAATCAATAATAACTAAAATTTACACTTTATACATTGAATCAATTCAAATTAATAGTTTATTATTAATATGTAATTATATGGATATAATTTTTATATTTACTTTAAAAATGGATTTCTCTTTATGTCGTCCACTGCAGCGTTTGCCCTTTCCATATTACGACAAGCCAAAATCACCCTGGCACCTAAATGCAAAAATGGTCCATATTTAAATATACTTTTTGCATTATCAACTTAAACAAACCGGGTTAAAAAAGTGTTTAGTTAATACTGATATGTATATTAAAATAATCAAAATTTATCAGTAGAGCATTCTACTTTTCTCATATTACAGCAAAAGCTCTTAGGAAAATTTACTTTAGACCGGCCTAAAGTTTATTATTCAGTAGAAGTGTTTTTTCCGTGTACAATTCGCTGTCACTTACCTCTTCGGTATAAATCTCTGGCAGTTTCCTTACCGATTCCAGAATTTGCACCCGTTATAATGACAGTTTTGCCATCAAAACGCGCCGTACTATCGCACGAGGTATTAAAAGGCCACATTTTTTATATTATGCTCAATTTTCACGACACCGCTGATGTGCTGTTAAAAGTGACAGATTAAAGCTAATACAAATCAACACCACACAAAATATATATATGGGCATATAAAGAATTCAGTTACATTTCTATTCTCATTAGAATAAAACTGTTAGTGCATTCACAAGAAGAGCCAAAAATACTTATGTTTCTTTACAAACAAATATACTCAGCAAAATTTAGGTATTTTACCAACAACTAAAAATTTTATTGCTATCTGTTGAGTATTTTGGTAGGAAAATAGGAGCTATCTCGAACATATGCTTACTACTTTATTCTGAGTGAGTGTAGAATGTATACTGCAGATCAGCGCTTGGAATTGCACATTTTGAACCGATTCTGGAGACGACGCCTTCTGTCCCCCCACTACCGCCCGGCCGTTGGCGGCCGAGCCGCCGATAGCTCTGGTTCAGGAGCATTTTATATTAGAAATAGGCTGGATTGTTTAGGCATCTCTCAGGAAATCGTAACATTTTCTTTACTACATAAATAATGTTTATTTTCATTAATACATAATATATATATATTTAATTATTAATGAAAATAAACATTATTTATGTAGCAAAGAAAATATTACTATTTTTTGAGAGGTGCCTCAACAACCGAGCCTATTTCTTATATAAAACGCTCCTGCGCCAGAGCTATCGGCGGCTCGACCGCCAGCGGCCGGGCGGTAGTGGGGGAACAGGAGGCGTCGTCTCTTGAATTGACCCGAAATGTGCAACTAATTCCGAGCGCTGTTATACATCAATGTGCACATTACTCTGTATTATCGATCCTTCGTGGACATAGCATGGAACGAAACCAAAAATTGTGCACATGGCTACGTAGTTCCAATGTCCACATTTTAGGTTCACAGGTGGCGTATCGCTTTGGCGGATCACGTAAAACCTGGCCGTGGCGTCTCTCAAGCTTCTCTCTGGCCATAGAGAACGCTTCGGTGTCACTAGTGTACAGTAGTGCAGAAAGTTCAGCAATGAAGAACAAACCTAATGATTTGAGATGCAAGCAGCAAGCAGCACGAGTGAGGGAAATACCGTACACATGCATAAGCCACGTGCATGTGAGCTCCGCGGTTAACTTCGGACACCAGAAAAGAGTTTTTCGCATAGACTATACGTCGAAGATTGTACTAAAGATTGCTTAAGCGGGGAAAGAATGATTTTTAAACTGTTGGATTAATTTTTTGATCACAGTGGATTTTTAATAGATACTTATATTCTAGTAATAATTTTAATAAAAATGTTTCCTTACTTCGATTAATATGTTTGGAATTATTACTAAATACTTATGATAATTATGTATACAATAAATTTGATATAAAAGGACGATAGAGAAATAGTATGAAATATATTAAGATGTATTTACACAGTTTTAGGACCATTCTAGTCGTCACTTTTAAAAAATATTCGTTTTTTTGGAGAATCTCTTATACAATACATTTGTTATCACAGTAATAAATTTCAGTGCTTATAGTATTAAACTTTTGTTTGGACGTGATAAAGCTTGTTCTACTGATCTAAAGCTGATATTTATATTGCATACCCATATTGCCATATCGCGATGCTATGATACTATTACAATTGTTAAAATTAGCAAATTAAATATTAACAATAGAAATAAAATAAATTAGTTATCCTGGATTCTCTGTGCATTCAATACAATGATAGCTGTCTCAAATTAACACATTCACCGCCAGCACTGAATCTTCTATGCAATTACATTTGCAAGTATATGCCTATGTTTAATAATAGTAGAAAAGCATAATGAATAAAATGTATTGCAAACAAATTAATATTTATATCTATTAAAATATTGCAAATAATTATTCATTGGTCTTCTTGGATATAAAAGAATCCAAGTAACGGAAAATCAACTAAAAATACGCTTAGCGGCGAATGTGTTAACATCCTAACTCAAGTTATAACACTCGTACATATAATAATCAAAAATTTGCTTCTCTTTCTATCAATCAAGAATATTAAACTTTTCCACATCTACTCGTACGCTTTGTTATAAAGTGGTTGATGTGACGGCGCTAACACCATGAACTAAAACTGTCGGTGGTAAGTCCACAGTTAATTCCGTCAGCAACTGCAAGTACTGTTGATACATGTCGTCCTCGTCCCAAGTGTTGGAAACTGGCGGCGCGGGAAGATAGATGAACGTCGTCGCGGTTTGAGAGGAATAATGCCTTATCAGTTGATTGACGCTGAAAAACGAAATCGATGAGAAATGTGACAAAATCGCAGTCAAAGATTAGCAATCAATGCTTACCCCAATACATAAGCTCGCGACATGTTACTCAAAGCGTTATTGGATTCTGAACTTGATTCGTATTGACTTTTCGGCTCGAGCAACGATCTGCCCTGCAGTCCACGAATTTGCTCTGCCCATTCCGGGATCTTCTTAATCGATGCGGAGATTCTCAGCAAATTTAAGGATTTGCGAATTCTGTGCTCGTTCGAGATTCTTGGATATTCGCTGATCGAATTGTGGGAGTCCGAGATACTCATGCTTTCGCTGCTATCTCCGGTTTCGCAATGGAACACTCGAAGATGTAAATTCTTCCAGCTTGGCACCATATTGATGATGCACGCGAGTTGAAGCATAAACAGCGACGTTGTGTCAAACGGATCTTGATCGGTCGGTTGGAAGAAGTTGACGGGCCACACATCGATGTACTTCAAATTTGAATTTCTAGAAGCAGACGTACATTACGCTACGCAATAACAGTTACAAAAATGCTTTTTTCGATAGCAAATGTTCACTTACTTCGTTAACTGCGCTTTGTTCAACAAATGGAAGTTTCTGCACAGACACAAATTCTTCTTCATTCGCAGAACATCCGAGCACATGCCAACGTATTGCACCGGGTCCAGATTTTTCTCACCCGTCGCCTGTCTCAGAGGAAATACGGTATTATTCGGAGGCGTCGTGACATTTTCGAACATCGTCGTCGCGTACTGAGAATCCAGGAAAAAGTTCCGCGGCGTTTCTTCATCGTAAAAGCCGAGGACGATCGTGTTCGGCTTCATCGCGCCCATTCCGGATATTCTGATTAAATGCTGCATGCCCTCGCGCACCGTTTTTGTTACGGTCAGTTCGACAAACGCTTTGACTCTCAAGTGATCAACCAAGCTCAGCCAATGCGGATATTCCTCTATCGTAGGATCGCTGCTCTGACCCGTGAATTCGCCAACCTTCACATGCCCGACGACGTAAAGTCCTCCTTTCTTCAAGTCATTCACGAAATCGATGAGGGGGCAGGCGGAGCGCGGGGATGCGACCATTAACAGCATCTGCGGACGCCAGAATTTGACGTGATCCTTGCGCGAGTCCAACATCAGCAAGTACTTTCTGACTTGGTGGAATATCAACGCCTGAGAAATGCTGCCCCACGGCGCGTTCTTACTCGGCGAGAATAAATGCAGCACGATAATCAAAATCAAGCACAGTATTATACTGCTGGAAGCGTAAATACTGTTGATTACGAACATCATTATTAGCGTTCCAAGAAGACCTATAGTCGCCGTGTGCCATGTGAAGTAATTAAATGTTGGTCTGAAAGAAATTTAGACATTTTGTAACAAATTATAATCACATGATTAATAGAATTCGATAGATGTATTTTTAAGTAAAATACCTGAAGTTTGGTGCACTAGCGAGTTCCAGTCCAAGACACGCAAGATTGGTGGCGAGGTAACTCAAGAGGAATAGCACTGAATTAATCTGAGCAATAGCATTCAGCGAGCCGATGAGTAAGATTATCTGGACCAAAGTCCATGAAGTTAACACCGCTGCTATCGGATTGCCACGCCACGTACCTTGTATTATAAAATTCAATCCGGAGCCTAGACGAGAAAATATATGACAATATTAACTTTTATATTTTAATTATAAAACTCTGCCACTGAAATTACTTACCAAATACGTTATCTTTGGCCAATGCCTCCAGTACTCGACTGGAACCTATCAAATTGCTTAAACCAGCGCTGAAAGTTGCTGTGAGAATGCCGACGGCGACAAACGGTGGCCAAAGATTGATTGGCATCATGTATATAAAGTTGTTTTGCAGTAAAAATCGAGTGGTGGTAGCTGCCGTGAACACAGACAGCAGAATGTAGCATATAAAGGTGAATACCACTGCGGATAATGTCCCTCGCGGAATATTTCTACCAGGATTTTTCAGTTCACCTGTTTAATCATTGCGTAGTAAGTAAATATAAGCTATGTTGAATATGAAAAAAAAAATTTTTATTTACCGCTCATATTGGCTCCGGCCATTATTCCAGTCACACCGCTGAACAATACACCAAAAACGCTCGCAAAATCTGTCAAAGTTCCTCCGCTGGAATAATCGGCGCTGTAATTTGAATAAAGATTGCTGGAAAGTGTAGAAGACAGAAGACCCGTGTAACTTCCGTTTACGTGGTACGTTGCATTTTGCACCAACGTATTTGCATCTGGAATCGGTATCTGAAAGTGTAATATTCATTAATTATAGTTTAAGCGAATAAGATATTAGATATATTAAATATATTTTTAAATGTGCTATACAATTATTTACCTCCATTGCGCCTTGTGTTAAAAAACTGATAAAAACGCTACCCAAACAGATGCAGACGACCGCCAGGATCGCGACACTGGTTTTCGCGAACATTGCAGCTCCGATAAGACATACCACAAGATTGGCGGTGTTTAATATAGAACAATATAAAAATCTCCACCATCGACCGTCCGGTATGAGTCCAGCTTTCCCACTCAAGTAACCGGATGGACCAAAATTCTCAACCAAGCCCTCGGCGCATCCAGAGATACAAAGTGCACTGCTTACTACATTGGCCATGAAAAAGAGAGTGCCGATGGAGCCGCCGAATTCAGGCCCTAATGTACGACTGATCATAACTGTACATGGACTAAGGAAAACATTCTGAATATTTTTATAAAATTTTACACCCTGATTGCTGATAATTGAAACATTTTTTATAGATTTAATACAGAAATGAATCCTTTTCTCTCTCAATTATTATACAACATAGTATCAATTATTCAAAAGATAAAGTGAATCAATTCACTGATAAGCTATCTAAAACGGATAAGCCGACACAGTTTAACTCTATTAGATAAATAGAATGTATAAAACATAAATGACACAGAATTATATATAAATATATATAAAATATATAAATAAAATTGAACACATATTAAATATAGAAAAATACGTAGAAAATATATAAAATAAATTTTAGTAAAAATAATATAAAGTTGCTGCTATTTATAAGGATACAGTAAGCACCACCACCTTCTACAGCACCATTTGTCGATATAGCACAGACAGATGCAACTGTGAACAGCAAAATGCCATATGCTATGATAAACTGAGCTAGAGTCACGAGTAAACCTGCATTGCCCACAATATATCCTGTAAAAATTGACAATTAATAAATATTGCAGATATATTTCCGTATATTCTAAATCATTAAACATTATGAATTACTGCTCACCCATTCGTATAAAAACTAAGGCACTAAACATAGACAATGTAACCGGGCTGAATACACCAGCAAAGGTTCCCAATGTACGAGTGCTGTCCACACCGAGACTACCAAATTCAACATAGCCATCTCCCTCGGAATGTGCCGGCCTTCCGATCTTAAAGATATTACTTAATCGTTGAAACACACCCCTGCCATGAATCAACGGAGCTTTTTCACTTGTGACCCTGATTTGCACAGATTCAGCATTGGTGGAGCCAATTTCCGATGCTATCATCTTGAAATTGCTAAATAAACAAATTCAACATGTTAAAATAAGCTTGAATAAACTCAACAGATTTGAATAAACAGTAAATAGTAAAGATTATGCCTTCGATTAAATAGTTTGACTAAATGTACACGTTGCAGTTTTTATCAACGACGCAACTGATTGTGTCAAGTAGGCGTCAAACAGACACGGATTTAAATTTACAATTAACTATATGTAAATAGATATAAAATAATTTTTTAAAAATCTTCAAGAGTCTTCGATCTTCTTCGATCTATCACTTACTTATATTTCACTTGTGCGCATAAGAAAATATAAAAGAGTATATAACAGAATTAGTCATACGATTATGATGTCACACACCGAACATCAACACTAACGTCAGACTAAGGACTAGGTCCTCGATTTGAGGTTAATAAACTCGCGTCAAAAAAAACCAATAAGAAACGCTCATCTTTGTCATCGATAAATCATTATTTTAAGAAGTACAATCTACTGTACCAATGTGAAATCAGGTTAACAAATATAATAAATTGTGATGGAAAAATTCCCTTTGGCACAGCTATATATTTGTGCAAATTTATATTAAACAAAAATCTTAATTCCAAAAATAACGCTCTGTCATCTACATTAAAGAATCTTCATCACTTAATAGTCTCATAATGCAGATTTGCGTATAATTAAAATATAAAAAAATTTACATATAAAAAACATATTTAATATTTTCTTGTTATACATTCAGAATTTTTTTTCCTTTTTTAATAATAAAATTGCAGTCACGTTCGATATTATCTGCAGTTATGTAATAAAAATATTTCAACTTTGTTTTCGATGTAAACACTTTCTTTTATATAGAATCTTCCACACCGGAAAGTTGGTTGACCTTGCATTTTTCGCGGCAACGCACGAGATCACGCGAGACCACGACGAAGCGAACGCGCCAGAAACAGAACGCTGTGCGTGCTATTGTGAGATTGAAGAAACAGAAAAGTAGGGTTGTTTGGATACCGTTATAATATTTCAGGTGAGTTTTGGACGCTGTTATTGTGAGCACGTGGATAAATGTGTAGGCACCATCGAATACGGCGAATATTAGCACGAGAATACCGGCGAACGCGTTACCGCCGCCACCGACACGCTCGACGCCATTTTGCACCGAATACCGACAATTCATTGTCAATTTCATAGCAATTTCGTACTCACGCGAAATTTCTCTTACTACATGGAAGTTTTGCATGGATTTCTTGCTTACCTAAATAATATATTCCGTAGATGAGAATCGTGAGTGTGAATGAGCACTATTGCCGATACAAATTTTGAATTTTATTTTTTTTCTGAATCTTTATTTTACCTCTGCAGATTGACTGACTTATCAGTTTTAGACAATATTTTATGACTTAATAACGCACAATAACTGTTTCGTGTCTTAAGTCTTGAGTCTTAGATCAGTTTGCAAGAAATAAACACCTGTATATTAAGCCAATGATTTTTATTCGCTGGAGTTGATACTGAAAGAAATATCAGTTATTCGAAGGGTAGTTCACATAAAGATGACAAGCAACATAGGAATATCACAACTTATGACTTTAGAGATAAAAAATATTTATTTTTTTGTATTAAATTGTTAAGTCAGTCATTCTGCCAAGGCTCCAATTCAAATGTATTGAGATGTCAAACATCATGTGCAATCATTTAAAAAAGCCTATTGTACTTGCTTTAATTCAGAATTTTTGTCATTCTATTTTAATATTTTATATTTCCATTGCTATCTTAAAACAATTATCCTTCCGACCTTTACTAAGACTAAAGATTTATAACAAAACTGATTTGATTTTCATATTTATTATAGGATCTAACAAATCATAATGAGCAAAACTAAGGAGGCTACCACAACAGACAATGAAGCAGAAGAAGAATTTAGTGTGGAGAAAGTTTTAGATAGAAGAGTTGTGAAGGGAAAGGTATATTAAGTTTTATAGCCTATATAAATATTTTATAATTATTGATTATTAAGTTTCTTTATAAATTCTAAATAAATTATTCCGAATTGTAGGTAGAATATTTTCTCAAATGGAAAGGATATTCGAATGATGACAATACTTGGGAGCCGGAGGAGAATCTAGATTGTCCAGATTTGATCGCACAATTTGAAGAACAACGAAAAAAGAAGGAAGCAGCTGCATCTGGGAAACGTCATGAAGAAAAGGAACAGAAAAAACGAAGAAATACCAGCACACCAACGCCCACTCAGGGTAATAAGAAAAAATCAATAGTGGAAGACAAGAAGGCGGAAGGTAAAGGAGGGAAGCATCGAAAATTTTTATATTCTCCTTTTTTCATCTAACTTTCCTCTTTTTAATTTAAAAAAAAAATTGTAACGTATTTACTTTGATTGTTTGAATGTATTTAGGAACGTGCACTTTACTTTACAGGATTTGATAGAAATTTGGAGCCAGAGCGCATTATCGGCGCAACAGACTCCAGCGGCGAATTGATGTTCTTGATGAAATGGAAAGGAACAGATGACGCGGATCTGGTTCCTGCGCGCATAGCAAATGAAAAATGTCCACAGATTGTAATCAAATTTTATGAAGAACGACTGACATGGCATAGCCCTGCTCATGATGAGGAAAACTCCACAAAACCCGATCCGGAGTAGCGTTCAGCCTTTCGATATGCGTACACCGCACGTTTTAGAATATGTCGCATTTAGCGGCGTATTGACAAAAAAAAAAAGATTGAACAACCCGAAAAAACTTATCTGTCGTCGTTGCACATTGCAAATTAACATAGATTTAACATTTTTTTACGTACATTGCAAATAAATATAGATTTAAACGGTTTTTCATGACTTCGAAAGTTTATAACCGAATTAGCAGAAACTTGGTACATATATATTGATCCTGAGCAACTAACTCTCGGATCTATCCGAAGAACCTATTTTTCCCTCCTATTTTCCTTTATTGTAATTCTGTTAAATATTAAAATAATTTCATTGCAAGCACACCAGTTATTTTAATAATATACTTCATTATTTATTAAAAACAGATTTGTTGATTTATTACATCATTCCGTAAAAAATTTGGAAAATGGGTAATTCGTGTAGGTGTCAATATCTAATATACACAAAAGGAAAAAGTAATTTTAACGAGTTTCTGCCATTTAAGAGTATAAGAATATTTTTAAGAAATATATACTTAAGGACAATATCTGTTATAAAAACAGTTTGAGCTGTATGCATCAATATAGACACGTTAATTATAGAATTGCCTTTCAAAATTCATGGTTTTATGGTTTCATGGTTTTTTAAATTCTGTATTAATAAGATATATATTAATAACATATATATATATATATATATATTATTAACATATATCTATGATAGAGTGACAAAATATTATAATAATCTTTACTTTATTTTACTTCTGAATTTTGTTTTTATGTAAATGTTCCATGTTTGCTTTTCATCTACAAAAGTTCAAATTTGTAGTAAAAAAAAATGTTTAACTAAAAAATTAATTTATGTAAATTATATTTTAAAACAAATTATTGTTCACATTAAAATACAATGTTTCACTATTTGTTTAGTTATTTGTACCATAAGCAACTTGTTGCAACGACGATGTAATGGCGAGATATATAAATGATTAACACGATTTGACGTACAAGCTCAAAAAGAGATGAAAATCTATAAATAACTATAATAGTATATATGTTCTGTACATTACTTCTTATTGTTCATAATATCGCCTTAGAATAAAAAAGAATTATTAAGGACTTATTGTAAACCGATGTAAAGTTATGTCCATAAAATGTTTATATATCTATCGTTTGAATCTTTTAGCACGCTTATTGGACGATTGACCAGGTTTCCGTTTCTTTCTGTCAAACGATCCTCTCAACCGTTCATGCCGTTTCGTTTCCCAATCTATTTGTTTGGAACTAGCACCGTCGCTGGTGTTGAAAGTGTTACTATATCCATGTTTTTCCTTCGTTTTGCTTTGCTCCTCCAGCATTTCAGCGAACTTCTCTGCACATACAAATATATTATTATCTATTCCTTTCTTATTTTTATTCTGTTTGGTCTTTGGACTTTTTGTCTTCAACTTTTCATTTAGATTCGAAATTAATTCATCATCTAAAGCCTCTCCGTCATCGGAATCGTTAAATTCCATGTCGCTCAGATCCTCATCATCAAGATCTTCAACATCAATATCGCTCAAATCTTGCAGCTCGTCATCTTCGTCAAAATCTTGCAGCATCTCATCATTTTCATCAGGGATATCCTCATCTCCCAATTCATCATCGTTACCTTCATTATTCTTGTCAACCACTTTAGCTGCTGAAAGTTACAAATGTAATTATTAAAGTATATAGTTCTTAGAACCATAAAAATTATTTTTGCAATAAAGCAATGAAGTTATCATATAGACTTGAACAGAAACAATCATTACTTCCCCCTATAGATGAGTCAAAGCATATTTTATACAATTCTACATACAAGAATACAGATTTACCTTTTTCTTCCCAAGCGCGATATCTGTCGCAATGTCTAAATTGTCTAAACTGTCTAAATCGTCTAAATCGTCTAAATCGTAGTTGGTGCCCACACGATCTAGCATATCGTTGAACTCTTCACTGTTAACGCTCTCCATGTCTTCATCATCGTCTTCTTTCTTGATGTCCTTAGTCTCGCTCTCTTTCTTCCAAAATTTATGAAGGAACAACTCGTCCACTGGTATTCGCTCCTCCCTTTCGTTGAGATACGCTGCGCTATCGACAGGAAGGGAGCGTACACCCTTGGGTGTATATCCGGCGCGTATTGCCAAGGGATCATTTTTCTTCTGCACCTTCTTATCTTCTGACTTCTTCGAGTTCTTAAAGACGTACCGATTCAAAAATCGAATCAACGTCAGATCCTCCAACGGATCGCCCGTGTACTCAATCGGTTTACCTGTAAACAAAAATTAATAAGTATCGCCAAATAATATTGTGCTGCATATAAAAGTGAAACTTTTACCTTGAATTATCTGATTTGCGAATATAGCAACACTGGGATGGAAATGTCTGGACAATGCTGCAAGCTCGGTGTACAACCCTTTGGCTACTCCCGCGTAGAGTGGATTCCGACAAAAGGGATCATACAACTTCACATTTTGCTCCTCAACTTTTACGTCGGTCTCTTCCTTCACATCGGTTTGCGATCCTGACGCGGTGTCAGCGCCAATTGTTACGTTCGATAACATAATGGTGTTTTCGTCGCTTTATTCTTATTTTTTATTCTAGAAACATCTGCATCTGACGAGCTTACTTCACAAACGTTTTCAACTTTTCCTTCACAATCGACATTCTCGATTTTATTCACATCTTTCTGTGACTTGAGCAGGATGTGCCTCAAGTCTTTGCGTTCTTGAAGAATTTTAGAGACAACATAGAGCATAGCACATGTCATATTTGCGGGGAAGCACAGTGTGATTTGCAAGATTCTTTTAATAAATGCGTATAGACGTAATACGCTTTGATCTTTCCGAAGAACTCGATATATCAAGTTAAGAAACATTGCGCGTTTATTTGCTACTCCTATTTGTGGATCGAGTAACTTTTTGTAAAAAGTCGAATAAAATCTGTTTGCTTGAGACTCGTCCTTGCCTGTAATCTAAATATACAAATGCCCGTTAATATAATGTAAAAATGCAGTAAATATAAACGCTATTCTACAATACTTACTTGGTGCAATAAGGTAAGTGCATTAAGAGAGACATTAAACGACCCAAAATGCACCACTTTGTAAACAGAATCAATGTGTTTGCTGAGCACCTTTGAATCTATCTTAGCGAAAGGATATGTTCTATTAACACCCGTTAGAATTGCTGCCATCATTCTGCTGTCAGGTTCTCCCTTTTTCAAACATGCTTTGAAAAACGCAAAGTACACTTCTACCAATGTAACAGCTATTTCGTCGTCGTTTCTGTCCAGATAAAATTGTGTCAACACACATATAGCGTAATATTGAGCACGTTGGGACACGTTTTTTCTAAACAATAGTTTCTCAACTTCACGCAAAACTACTAGCTTCATATTCGGATGCTCTTGCAATAACTTGTTGATGCAAACTACAGCTTTAGATCCAATTTTGCTAGTAGGATCGCCGATTTTATTCACAATCAACTCCAATAACTTATGTTCTTGTTCAGCATTGCCCATCAACAAATCTGTCATTACCGATATGGCTTTTTCACGATTTATGTCTACTGTATCAGTGGCTACTACAGACAGACTTAAAACAAAGCGTTCATACTGCTCACGCAGTTGATCTTCAAAGTACCAATGTGCCAGTAATCTATTTCTAGCAGCATTTGTTTTAACAATAGAATTTGATTCATTTCCTACCTCAAGCTTATCTAGATCCTGTTCTTCAAATTTTAACAACTTAAAAGTTGGATGCAACAGATCAGTTAGAAAGAGTTCCTTGAGAGACGTTATGACCAAACTACACTGACTGTGTTTGGCCCCTTTTACTTGAGAGACTAGAAATATTAGACGACTGAAATTATATTTTGGATTATCTTGCACCAGCACTATGTTGGCTGCTATTCTATCCGAAAAAGTACCCTGCTGCAATGCTGTCTTTAACCATTTTGTCTCTGAGTCATGTGACTTAGATTGTTTCAACTGAAAACTGGCAGTCTCTGCATCCAGATATTTTTTTCCTTCGTCTTTTAGTTGTAACACACCAACTTCGGATACAGAATGTTTGCAAGGTTCCTCTGTCTTCGGATATTCCTTGTACCATTTTTTCTCACCACTAATAGTGGAGATATCATTGAATCTTTTCATTTTCTAATAACGTTTTTTTTCAATGTCACAGTAAAGCATCTAATACACTAAAATAAAAACGACAATTATTAGAAATAGATGTTTATATTCGTGATAAAATATTTTTATATCACAAAATAATATTTGTAAATGTTGTCAATCACAACATAATTAAAATTGTGTAAAAATTAACCTCAAAGCCACAACTTATAATGATACTAAGGTTAGTATACTCAATATATTTTGCTTAAACGTGTTATAAAATTTAAATGTTCTCCATACGCACACAATCAATTTATGTACACATTTAAAAAATCTTAATAACTGAATTTTCAATTAAAGTTCTCCTGAACCTGAACACATGCTCTCAGCAATAGCACGTTTCAGCGCAAAATATCTTTTTCACCCCCGGAAGCGGAAACTATATATCAAGTAACACACTCGCGCCATATTTCAAAATTTATGCACCATACAAGTCTTTTTAAATAATTACATTTGTTTAAAATTTCAAAAATAATCACGTGGAATGATGAAAATAAAACTCTATATATACATACAAAATATCACAAAATTTGAATATAAGAATTATAAAAGAAATTATATTTTTTATGTAATCCAGCATACCTCATATTTTTATTATAGGAAGTGTACAAACCTTTGGCATAGTCTGAAGTAAAATAAAGTGAAAATTATTATTATTTAACATAATCCTATAGGTTCTATATATGTTCTATTTATAATATTCCTTGATTTTTTTTTCGTAAAAAATATTATTTTACAATTAGTCATATCATTTTGCATTTCATTAAAGAAATATACACAAGTTTATATCATATGGCATATATCAATCTTCTAGCAAAATCTGAGTTTTTGATATCATATGTTAAAATCATTATATCATATGATTATATCATTATATCATATAAAAGTATATAGCGTATACTTTTACATCACAGATTCACTTGTGAGATATATATATATATATATATTTATAGCGTTTTTAACTACTATGGATTGGATAGCTCTGAGAGTGATTAAATACAATGACTTTACAATCAAATGCAAAAATATTGATAAATTACAAAATAAGTATTAATCGCTCTCGGATATAAATCCAATCCTTGACATAATGCTCAAATATTAAATAAAAAATTGCTGTATAAACTGCTGTGATTTAGAGATATGGAAACTTTTCTGAAATAATCTGATAAGATATGAGAATATACTGAGAAAAGATACCAACTTGCTAAATTAATACTATGAATTTGTGAATTTTACTACATTACAATATAGAAAACGCCAATATGCTATCATACTTTTCAGTAGATAACATTTATCTTTCTTATTTTTAAATGTTAAATATTTTAAAATTATATCTTTCTATAAATATCCAATTTCACCAAGTGTTTACATAGCAATAGAATCAATTATGTATATATAATACCATAGAATACATATTTGGAAAAAAAAATTCAAAAATCTATTGATCCAATCCCCGATGCCTCCTCTTCATTCTTGCATAAGGTCCAATGTCAGGATCCATCACAAAGTCATATAACACAGAAGTCCATGAATTATGATGTGGCAGATCGTCGTAAAATTCTGCAGCTATACGTTTTACCTGAAATAAAATTATTAAAATATAAGCTACCACTAAATTTATAAGCTTATCATATAATATAAATGTCAAAGTGTTGTAATAATTTTGGACATACCTCTGGCAATCTTGAACCAGGTACTGCAGGAAAGTCATGGTGCTCATTGTGATATCCAACGTTGAAAGTGATGAAATTCAAAGAACCATAATAACTGTACGTCTCGAAACCTTTTTTATACATATAATGCTCTGATATAAAGTGTCCTGCCACGGGATGTAATCCCATTGCCATAAATGAACCAATAAGCAAATAAAATACCACTTTACCACCTGTAATTACATAAGTGATTTATTGTTACACTTTATGTCAATTAATATTATTAATAATCTATACTTTGGTTTATATGTGAGATTTTAAAACTTACCAAAAAAGTACCATATAATACCATCAAATATCAATTGTATAAATAAATTAATGTATTCTAGATTTGTTGGCACTTTTGGGTATGTTACAAGAGGTCGAAATGCATAAAAGAGAGGCTGCAGAAATACCCAACAGAACTTTCCAAAAGTTGTATTAAATAATTTCGCCTCTAATAACGTTGGTAAATCAGTATCTAATTTTTCATCTCCCTGATACTGAACAGAAAAAAATGTACTTTTTAAATACAATTAAAAATATAGTGAGCACAGTGCTAAGTGCAAATCAAACAAAATATGACCTACTACTTCTTGCAATACTCACACGATGGTGCTCAAGATGATACTTTCTAAAACTAATAGATACTGGTATACCTATTGGTAAATTTGCAAAAAAACCGAACAATCGGTTAGCCATAGGTCTGGCATGTCCAAAGGCAAGATTATGAGCTATCTCGTGTATTGCTGCAAGCCAATGTACAACAAATTAATGTCAGAATTAAAAATAATGTGGTATAATGTCAGAATAATGAAACATGGCTTTCCTACATTAAATAAGATAAAAATAAGATACGTACCGAGCATGAGAGAATGATTTATTACACCTCCAAAAAAGTACGCTAACAACAAGAGATTTGGATAACTTAAATCTTTAACAACAAATAATGACAAAAACTGTACTAATACCATTCCAAGAACAACCCATTTAAAATTTGGATCATATCCAAATAACTTTTTAATTTGAGGATATTTCTCTGAAACAAAAAATATTATTTCTAATAAATATTTTTAAAAATATTAATTTAAATATTTGATTAAAAATTGTCTTAAATGTCATATATAATACTTAGAAAATAATTTGTTATAGAATTTATAAAATGTTATAAAATATATATTATTATACAAAAAGTGGTATAAAATAATTTTATTTTAAAAATATTTTACTTATTTTACATAAAAATTTTACTTAATTTACATATAATAGTAATTTAAAGATCTTATACGTGTTAGTTCAATAAGCTTTTTTATCGTTTGGTATTTCCATACATTGTAAAAACATTTTGCATGATAAGTTCGTGACAAACTATAGTTTGTCAGAACATTTAAGATAAATGCTTCTTGACTGATAACAGTAACTAATACAATCTTTCCATTTTACTCATTTTTCTATTTTTTTATACCTTAAATCCTTGTATCTCAAATTTTTTACCAACTTCACTTTTTCTGTTAATATGATAGTATTTTTATTTTTTTGTGTATCAAATTTTTTTTTAATAATCTGAAAAATTTATTTATTAAGAACTTAAAATCACTTTAAATTCAAAGTTTGACAAATTAATCAAAATATATTAAAAACGGTTTTTAATGTCTCCTGTAAAATTTTGATTTTTTAAGTTACGAGATTTTGAATTTAAGGTAATATCGTTTTGTAATTATCGAGTCTTAATAGCATCTCTGACGACGTTTAAACATTTTCTCCAATTGGTTATTAAGACATTAATAAAACAAACAATCCCATTTTCTTCTGGCAACTGTCATACCTAAAATTATCTTGCGTCGTGTGGCGTGTGGCTCTTCTGTATAAACCCACTCAAAGTCTGTCCTTGATACGCGTTGGCCCATTTTTCCACGACGATTAGAAAGAATGAAAGATAATATTATAAGCAAGAATCAACCGGCACGGGCAAAAGACGAAACACTACTACATGGAGATACTGATAGCCATGACAGCCACTGAATGATCTCGTGTTACTGGCTATGTATTTACTGTTATACAGGGTGTCCTGAAACCATCCAGTGTTGCGATATGGGACCGGTTGTATGCGCATGTGCGGCTCTGCGCATGTGCGGTGATGGAGATCCAGTGCCGTTATATGTTATGTGTTGACCGTATGGCGGGACGTTTTGACATGAGAAGGTCTGGTGACTACAAATAAGATAAGATTTATTTATTTACAAGCATGGAATCTACGGAGCCAGCAGCTAAAAAACCAAGAAGTAAAAAATTTCAATCAATTTCAAAAAATGTAGAAATATTTTTAATGTAGCGGGGTAACGGTGCCTTGTTTAATTTGTATGGGACACTGTACTGACGCCGTATTGCCGCACATGCGCATACAACCGGTCCCATATCGCAACACTGAAACCATCTTATCAGTCACGTACTTTGCGATAAATGTGCAATAGATTTCCTATCAATTTTACTAGCGAAATTGTTATTTAATGAAAAGTGATTATTTTCCAAATTCTTGAAGATATCTCGTATCTTAAATTAAATATCTATCGAGATACATTTAAGAAAAGTTGAAGATCAAGATCTAACAAGGAAGGGTCGACAATTCGAATTTTCTAAAAAATCTAAAAAATTCAGGTTGTTGAAACCTTCCTTGTAAGTAGGTCAAGTATTTACATTATCAAACTTGAATTATCGAAGTTTTTTTATTCCTTATTAAAACAACATCCGTTCGTTTTATTCGATGAGATCATCATGCTCTCCCCTTCCTTCATCGCCCCTCGCCATCAAGCTGTTTCTAGCTCCCCCCTTACTTCATCGTCCCTCGCCCACAACCGGTTTTCCTGAGATAACCTTCTCTCTATAGATCTTGTTCCCCCGGTACAGTTTGTGCCCGTCCCTCTATTCCTTAGTCCGTGGTTGTATCGTAGTGTAAAATTTTTCGGTGGTCGTCCGACAGGCGCGCCAGCAAGGCCGCCAGCGATATATTGAAGTGCGATACATCAACACTCGATCGAAGCAATAAGTCGATGCTTCCGTACAAAACCGGATGCGGCGAACAATCCAAAACATCCTCAAACATTTGGGACCGGCTTCTTTATGCGGAGCCAAATGTTGGGCTTGTTCGTTTTAGCTGCACTGGGACAGCTCTGGGTCTGCTCTAAACAAGATAATACAGGACAAACTATTTATCTGTCCTGTATTATCCTGTGTAGAGCAGACCCAGAGCAGCCCCAGTGTAGCTAAAACGAACAAGCCCGTTAAGGAACATTCTGTTCGGAGCCGGCATTAGGGTCAGTCGAGAATTATAGCGTTTTTGATTATACAGGGTTTGAACGACTCAAGGTTGGTTAATCGTAATTCCCTAG